AGTTTTTGTGGCAAAAATGACAATTTATGTCTTTATCAGGTTACATGCATATACAGAGAATGTATTACAGAAAATAGGAAAAGACAGAAACAAGGACACTAAATTATGGAAAAAGCAAGGCCAAGGAAATCATTTCAAACCACATTTAATTATAAACTGAAACCAGAGCAAAGAAAATCCAGTTTTTGCAAGTTAAACTTCTCCTGATAAACACCACGACATTTGGACAAGTGAAAGCATGAAAGCAAAAATATTTACAAAAGCTCAACCAAGCAAAATTATACAGAGCAACATAATACGACAAGATTTTTCAAACTATCAAAAATGTTTTAAACTGAAGGAAATAAATCATCTTTGCCAAACACCCGAACACATTTAAGGTACTGGTATGTTGACAATTTCTTCAAATGTGAAAATGTAAAAAGCAAAAACAAACTTAAAAGTGAATAACTGTTCACCTACGAACCAACCTCCAATCCTCCCAAACTCCACCAGGAAGGTTTGACAGACTTAGCCACTGTTAATTCTAGTTGGAATGGATGCTTCTGGAAAGTTTAGAGTTGCAAGAATGTGGCAATGGTTTCCTGCTAACGTGTACTCGTAGTGGAGGATTTGGAAGGATTTAGGAAGGTTGTCAGCAAATATACCAAAGGAAACACAGGCAAATCAAGCATGCATGTACATGCACCGTGCATTTATACATGTACAAAGGAAAATCTACAAACTTTTATGAATGGTACATCTCAGATGGAATAAAGTGCTCCTAAAACTTGTAAACAACTTGTTTTTTTAAATACAGTGAGATTCGTTAAATTATACACATTAACCACTCTTCTGAGCCGAGTCATTGTTTTGAGAACTTTCAATGCAGTGAACTTGCCATCAACAGACATGCCTTAGTATGCTCAAAGTTACCGACATGTGTCAAATATTTAATGATTTATGGTATAATGCCGTTGGACTGGTTTACAAGTGAGTGCAGATAAGATTTAAATGTAGTAGATATCATTGATATTCTATCGTGGTACTTGAGAGATTCAACGGTGCAAGAAGGACTTCACAGAAAGGGAAGGGGGTGATTAGTGATGCTTGGATGTTTTGGAGTTAGATTTAGAATATGTGCAGTGAAAGTGGGTCAGTTGGTACTGCTGTGGCTGTACACTTTCAGCATCAACATTTGCTCCCGGGATGATGATGATGGTGGAGATTGCCGGTCAGTGTCTTTGTATAACAGACCCAAAACNGGTTTTTGTGGCAAAAATGACAATTTACGTCTTTATCAGGTTACATGCATATACAGAGCATGTATTACAGAAAATAGGAAAAGACAGAAACAAGGACACTAAATTATGGGAAAAGCAAGGCCAAGGAAATCATTTCAAACCACATTTAATTATAAACTGAAACCAGAGCAAAGAAAATCCAGTTTTTGCAAGTTAAACTTCTCCTGATAAACACCACGACATTTGGACAAGTGAAAGCATGAAAGCAAAAATATTTACAAAAGCTCAACCAAGCAAAATTATACAGAGCAACATAATACGACAAGATTTTTCAAACTATCAAAAATGTTTTAAACTGAAGGAAATAAAGTGTACAAATTTAAGAATTCTAGTATTAATGTAGAATTTATAAGAGCATTTATGACTTGTACATGTACATATGTATGTAAGTTAAGAAAGAAACAAAATGAACATATCAAGCATTGTTTCTCATCTTTGCCAAACATCCGAACACATTTAAGGTACCGGTATGTTGACAATTTCTTCAAATGTGAAAATGAAAAAAGCAAAAAGAAACTTAAAAGTGAATAACTGTTCACCTACGAACCAACCCCAATCTTCCCAAACTCCACCAGGAAGGTTTGACAGACTTAGCCACTGTTAATTCTAGTTGGAATGGATGCTTCTTGAAAGTTTAGAGTTGCAAGAATGTGGCAATGGTTTCCTGCTGACGTGTACTCGTAGTGGAGGATTTGGAAGGATTTAGGAAGGTTGTCAGCAAATATACCAAAGGAAACACAGGCAACTCAAGCATACATGTACATGCACCGTGCATTTATACATGTACAAAGGAAAGTCTACAAACTTTTAAGAATGGTACATCTCAGATGCAGTAAAGTGCTCCTGAAACTTGTAAACAATTTGTTTTTTTAAATAGGCCTACAGTGAGATTCGTTAAATTATACACATTAACCACTCTTCTGAGCCGAGTCATTGTTTTTCTCCTGTCTTTGGCAAATTTTGAGAACTTGCAATGTAGTGAACTTGCCATCAACAGACATGCCTTAGTATGCTCAAAGTTACCGACATGTGTGAAACATTTAATGATTTATGGTATAATGCCGTTGGACTGGTTTACAAGTGAGTGCAGATAATAGATTTAAATGTAGTAGATATCATTGATATTCTATCGTGGTACTTGAGAGAACGGTGCAAGAAGGACTTTACAGAAAGGGAAGGGGGTGATTAGTGATGCTTGGATGTTTTGGAGTTAGATTTAGAATATGTGCAGTGAAAGTGGGTCAGTTGGTACTGCTGTGGCTGTACACTTTCAGCATCAACATTTGCTCCTGGGATGATGATGATGATGGAGATTGCCGGTCAGGGTCTTTGGATGGCATCAAACCTTTTGATACATCTTGACTGACTTCTGGTCAGCCACCGCCAGCTGTCCATCCGATTTGAATGTGATTCCTTGTGGGAAGAACAGACCCTGAGCCAGGCAAGCAAGAAAAACACCTTTTCGGTCGTAGTGGTGAATGTGACCAGTGCCAAGCTCATTGCTCACTGTGATGAAAATGCCTGAGTCGCCATAGCACGCACCACAGCAGTGCTGCACTTGACAACCATGGATGGTTGGTTTGATGTGAGCCAGAGTTTTACCATTGCTAGCGGCAACATCAAATCTCTGTTTATCTCCTCCACTGACCACAACTCTACCGGTATTAGTGTAGTCATCAACAGCCAGGAAGTACGGTGGAGTCTGCACTGTTACGGTGTGTAGGAGCTGACCATCAGTGGGTCTATGCTCCGTCCACACCATCCTCTTGACATCACCCACGAGGATGGTGCCATTCTTCCTGACTGCTACACTCTGGAGGTTCACATCCATCTTGTCAACCTTACTCTGTGGCACTGTGGGGAAGTGGAGGACCAGCTTTTTCTCACTGAACACCTTGACGTACTTGGTGTGATCTACAACCACCCACTGATTGTCATGATTGTGGATAGTTGCAATGTCACATGGATCTGGAGGGGAAGGAGAAGTACATATATGTGAGAAAGGTGCAGTCAAGAAATTATGAGCTACTCACTTTCATAAGTCCCACTATATTGTCAATGTACATGTATGTATTTATTCTGTCTACAACCACAAGCCATTAGTAATGATACTGGATATCTGTAAATATGTGTATCCTAATGAGGAAAGTAAGGACATCTGTAGTATATTTGCAGTGTATTGCATATGTTCCTTTTGACCTTGTGCATATTCAGAATTTTAGTTTAGTTTCCATTGTCAGTCATGCCTTGCTTAAGGACTAGTCGATTTACTGCAACATAAGAATTTTGAAAGTGTGCTTGTGTGTCCAAGAAACTTACATGTACATGAATGAAGGGGAATGTTTTCCTTGTGTTGTCCCTCATCGCTGCAGATCACCGCTCTGTTGTTCCAACAGTCTACCACAGCAATTTCACCAGGTCCAGTAACAACAATACTTCGAGCCCCGTCGAACTCTCCTGTACCTCTGCCCTTTTTGCCAAACTCACAGCACATCTCCCACTTGCCCACCTCCACCTCCAACCTGCCTAGAGAGATAACACAAATTTGGAGTGAATCTGAGACATGAGGGCTTGGGACCAGTCATGGGAGAATTTGGACTCCTCAGTGATTCCAACTCTTTGCTTGGGATAGGACAGAGGGACAGAAAGTTACTGTCTGATGTGGTATTGGTGACATCTTTTAGCCATTGCCACGTTGTTTTCCGTATAGTATCATGCTCACTGCTTTGTCATGAGTGTCATACAGGTGCATTCTTCTGAAATCATTTTATCATATATCTGTTCTCATTATGGTCTCTGTGTCCAGCACAGCTTGTTACATTCTGTGAAAACTCTCGCGTAGCTTGTGAAGAAACAGCCAAGTTCAAATTTTTCTTTGTCTGTGCTGGAGTCTAGAAACATATCGTTTGTAGGTTGTACTGGCTCCAGTGCAAACCCCCCCCCCAAAAAAAAAACATCGGTAGCTAGTGTTTCTCTTATTTAATTCTTCGAATGTTCAAGTTCCACACACAGGAATGAATAAAGTTAACAGGGGGAAAAACTGAGATGTTCTCTTTCAGGAAGCCAAGCACAGAATTTTAAATTCTGATAAAATGTGGCAAGAGTTACAGTTCAGAGCATATATCTTCAAAGAAAAAAGGAGTTAATCATGATCATAAAAAACAACTAAGGGGATGTTCTACTTAGACGTTAGTGGTGATGAAGATTTTGGTGAAGGTTCATGGTTGGAAGGAGACTTCCATGTTCATAAAAGATTCGAAGGTTGAACACTTCTCTTTCGTTGAGTCTGGATTTTGTAATATATGTTCTATGCATGTATGTCATGAAACGGTAGACTTTACTACCCTCTTTTCTTTAAAACAAAAATCCTGAATTTTCAGGGTGAAATTTAATGTGAATTTAGTGGACAAACAAATTTGGTGTTTGATTTATCATCCTAGAATTGAAAAAGGAATGATTAAACCCAAACAAAAGCTTTGACCTCACATTGTATTTTCAGTGAGACTAACTCAACTTTCGAGCCAAACTTTCCAGGAACAAAGTGCATCTCACTGTAAGTGTGATACAGCAATCTCATATATCATAAGACGTCTTTGTTTTTTGCGTAAAGTTGAATATACATGTACATGTATGTACACATCCAGTTGAACTGAAACCTACCATATAAGATTGAACATATGTTTACATGTACGTCTGTCCGCACATCTAGATTTTTATGTTTTTCTGCCATCGATGTCTCAGGCTGAATGTGCCTGTATAAACTGTTTGTGGGGATTCCGATGAATGAAGTGCTGCCAGAACTTTTATTTATTATTTTAATCAGTACCGGTAGTTCTTTTTGATTTAAAAATTACTGCAGTAGAAACAATTTGAAGTCCATATTTCAAATCTTTACCAATCAAGCGCTGAACTTACCTGCTGTTTTCTTCCATCCATCCTCAATACAGATGAGGATTTCAAGAACTTCTTGCATGTTGGGTCTGTGTGCGTAATCAGCTTGCCAGCATTTATTTAGAAGATCAGTTATTTGCTGGTTTTCTGGGCAATCATGTGGAATCTCCAAGCGTTCTCCTTTTTCCACCACAGCTTTGCAAATGTCATACAGCTGTTTGTCAGGATAGGGGGCCTTACCAGATATCAGCTCCCAAATGACAACACCAAAGGAATAGACATCTGATTTAGTTGTGACCTTGCAGGGTTTTCTGGAGCTAGTGCTAGAAGGATCATATACAGTGCTTAAATCACCAAGGGCCTCTGGTGCCATCCATGGGTAGGACCCTCTATTAGTGACTGTACTGATGGTATATTCACATTTCCTGGATATGCCAAAGTCACAAATCTTCAGTATGTTATCACTGGTGACAAGGAAGTTGGGTGATTTGACATCCCCGTGTTGGTACCCCATCTGATGAATGTACTGTAGAGCTTTAGCACCATCCTGGGCCCATCTCATCCAATGACTCTGCCTAAACTCTGGCCAGTCTTCACGATGTTTTTCAATGACTTTGTACAAAGAACCCCTCTCAGCATACTCGGTTACAATGATATGACTTTCAGATGCATTAGTTGGCTTGACAACTCCCAAGAGCTCAATTATATTTCTGTGACTCATCCTTGCCATAATCAGTACTTCTTTCTCGTGAAAAACACTGCAGCATTTTGCAGCAACTTTCTTCTTTTTTGAAGATGTTCGCCATGTTGCC